CCTTCTCTCAGATAAGTCTGTATGGCTTATGGGTGTGTAGTTCATGTCCTTAGCTCTTCTTATGCAGCTTATGTAGGCTGTAAAGTATTCATTATAGCACTTTTGTATTATTTTAAAGGATATGGTATAAGCTGGAACTCCTATTTCAACATCAACAACCTAATCATTATCTGACATTAGTGGTCGCACTAATCTTGTTATATCTGGCCAGATTTAATTTGTTATATTTGGAAAAGACAGGTTTTGGTAAGGTGGGCTTAAAGGAACCAAAATGGCCTCTAGTAACCATTTAGAAACACGATGGAGCCTGTTTAAACTTTGGGGACAGTTGGGGAGAAGAGAACACTTGGTTATGCAATCATATTCATCATAAAGAAACCATTCTTTGAGCCCAGGGCTTCTGCGAGTGATGAGCAAGCGTTGAGAAAGCTCTCACAAGCTTCATATTTTGACATTAGTATGTATAAAAACAGTATACAAAACAAGACACAGGGCTTTCCCACCATAGGAAGCACTTCCACTCACAATCAGGTTGAGGTCGTCCATCTTGGTCAACATATCCACCAGATAGTTCCTGATGCCAGAGAGTTTCTTTGAAGACTCTGTCCAGTGGGCCCGCTGGGTGAGAATACTCTGCTGTACTCGCTCCTCCTCCGCATGAACCTCCTCCAGCAGGCGCTGCTCCTCATTCTCGCACATGTTGCGGATGAACGTCAGACGCTGGATGATCATTTCACGGGAGGCCCGGGCTGTGCTCTATAGAAGGGGGAGACAGACTCTATGTTATCTTAAGGCTAGGTGCACACTTAGGCATTTCAAGTTTTCACACGTTTTCATGCATTTTTCCTGCATAAAAATGTCTATGGGACCAAAACCACGTGGCATCTGCCTGAAAATAGCTCCTGCATCTTTTGGTATGACAGGTGTTTTCGTACGCGCAACGCAATGCTAAGGTGTGAACAGTCGCCATTGACTTGTATTGAAATGTGTGTTTTGCACGCTCAGCTGTGAACCAGGCCTAAAAGTTGGGGGACGTGTAAAATATGGATACAAAAAAAAATGAAATATCCCCCATATAATTGATAGTTCTATTTTAGGCAGACAACTTTTTTGTATATCTTTCTAGGAATTCAGAGCTTAAAGCGGAAGTCCCGGAAAAAATATATATTTGTGATTGGACAAGGAGAGGTCCTGACATTCATCCGCCCCTCCTCCCGCTGCCTTGTATTCTGTGAAAAGGACATGTATTATAAATGGAGGGAGATGCATGGGAGACGGAATTGTGATTAAAGTCCCATTCACATGGGCCATTCTGCGATAATTGCAGCAGGATTGCCAGGTGTCCCGTTTAGATGTGGCCACTGTACCCATTTAAGTAAATGACAGGGTGACAGCAGCCGCATCTCACAGCAGCGGTTCGCATGCAATCAGCTATCCGAAGCCACATGTAATCGTACCAAGTACGATTACTTGCAGACTACTGCTTACAGATGTGGCACCCTGTCATTTACTTCAATGTGTACAGAGGCCACATCTCAACAGGGACACCTGGGATTCTTGCAGCGGGAATCTGCAGGTTCTTGTTGCAGGAATCCCACAATAATCCACGTCAACTGGGCCTTGCAGTGCCGGAAGTGCGGCGCTTACAGTAGTTGTGGGGATGAATGAAAGTACAAGTTTTACCTAACGCTGTAGCCAGCCACCCACGTCACACCCATTATCAGAGGTTACATTTTTCTACATAGCAAAAAATATGTCCAAAAATATTTTTCCCTAGAGTTCCACTTTTAAGCCTAAATGCAGCCAAAACTTTTTTTTGCTGCCACCTGATCCTGTAACACCCTTTCATCGGGACAGGACGTCAGGTGAAACACAGCAATACAAAATTGGTTCTCATTTTTTCTGATTTTATTAAAAAACATTTTTGGCTGGAGTTGGATTTTTAGGTGGCAATAAACCTGTCCCACACCTTTACATAGGATTACCACACTGCCTTTAGGATTGATGATATTTTTAAAAGAATGCAAACCAATAGTGGGTGCAGCAATTCTGCAGCATTTTAAAGGCTCTGCATAATTCCTTTGAAAATACTTATACATGTATAAAAGAAAATATGTATATATGGAATTCTAGTCCAAACTTTTTCCTAAATAGAGTGGGTATGTTTAGATTCTTTGTCAGTGTCCCCACTAGGGTGATTTTTCCTCACTTCTTGTCCAGAATCAAAGCAGGAATTGAGAGCAAACCTTCCCAAACTGAGAAATTCCACATGTAACTGTTGTCATTGGAGCTGTCCCCATTGGGAGATCTCCCCTTCTACGCTTGTCCTGGTGACAGCTGTAAGATTTTAGGTTTCCCATCACCTTCTGTCCTAGTTGTAGTGGCCACCAGGACAAACAGGAAGGGTACATTTCCCAAAAGGATAACCAGACAACAATAGAACCTCTTCCCCAGTCTATTCAAAAGGCAGAGAAAAGGATGTAACACTTGTATACATATGGGGAATCATACGGCAAAAAGACATTATTACCGCCACACGTGGGATCTTTGATGGCAAGGCTTCTGCGAGATACTTCTCGATCCCGGCTGTCTGTAGCTGCAGCTTCTCACACTGATCGACAATCCTGTTCTAAAAAGAGAGGGATTCTTTAGTAATGCCATAGCCAAGGCTGTATTTAGACATCACACTTCCCTAGGTAAGGCTCAATGGTGACCCACCCTTTTGCACAAGCCCCAACCCTTATGTTGTGATTATTTTAGTAATTCATTTTTAGCACATGGAGGCACCATATGGTCTGCTTTATATGCTGAAATAGTTTCTGCCTGTACCAACTATTAAATCATGGAAAAGAGAGATAGCGGTGTGTTCCCAGAACAGTAAAGAGCCTTCTGTCCCCTCTCAGCATCCCCTGCACCCCTTCTCTCTACAGCTCTCTTCCTGAATTTAGTCACAAATATCCAGAGAGGACCAGAAGAGGGAAATAAAATGTAAGTGACAAATTATCACAATATGAACATTTTAAAATATATCTGTCACTAGATGCTTTTTTCTAAAATAAAATTAAAAATAAAATTGAAAATCAAGAATACTTACCTGTCTAGAAGGTGGTGACTGCCGTTGTTGCCTTTTTCGAAAGCTAAAGAATCTTCTGCATCAGACACACTCCCATGGATGTCAGATGGCGGGTCCCCCGCTGCGCTCTGTGGTCTATCCTGCTGGCTGCTATGTGTAGCTGTGTTCTGTAGTCAAGTATTGGACTTTAGATGGAACCACAGTGCACAGCAGGGGAGCAAAGAATCCAACACATCTGAAAATGTACTGGATGCACAGATGGGCGTCACCACCTTCTCGAAGGATTATTTTTCTTCATCTTCTTTTGCTGAAGGAAGAAGGAACGGAAAGGGAAGGAAGGGAAAAGAAAGGAAGAGAAAGTAAAAGAAGGGAAATTAAAGGAAGGGAAAGAAAGTAAAGGGAGGGAAATGAAAGAAAGAGAAGGAAAAGTAAAGGAAGGGAAAGGCAATTAAAGGAAGGGATAAGAAAGGAAGGAAAGGAAAAAGAAAAGGAGGTGAAGGAAGATAAGAAATAGGAAAGGAATGGAACTAAAAAGAAAAGGAAAGGAAATTAAGGGAATTGAAAAAGGAAAGGAATGAAAAAGAAAGGAAAAAATAAAAGGAAGGGATAAGAAAGGAAGAGAAAGTAAAGGAAGTAAAATGAAAGGAAAGACATGAAAAAGGAGGGAAAATAAAGGGAAGAAAAAGGAAAGGAAGAGAGAAGATAGTAATTCCCTTTAACCACACAAGCTTATCCAACCCTTCCCTCTAGTGTATATAAGCTCAGGTCTTGTCCATATTCTCACCAGGCTGGTTATTCTGGCTATTCTGCTGTTTTTTGGAAATCCTTTTCTAGTAAAACGAAACAGAAAGGTATAAAGTGTAGGATAGGGTCACTTTGTAGTTGTGATAATTCCATCTTTGTATAGAATGAGAGATAGCTCTGTGCAGATCATTTGCACTACTCTTTAAAAACCTGCAGGTATAATTGTTTACATCTGATCTTTGCACAGCATATGATAGAATACTGTGGGCTCAGTTCACCAAGCTAACACTCTTACATCTTAAGGGTCTTATTTATATCGCGAGCTACAGCTCTCGGTATACTGAGACGCTGCAGCCGGAACGGATCCCGACAATTATGTTTCGATCCACCCAGCTGCGTGAGTGACAGCTGGCTCTGCCTATCTAGAGGCAGAGCCAGCTGTGCCCGCCCCCTCCCCAGTCTGTTCCGCCAGGCAGCGCTGGAGGATCGGACAGGGGAGGGGGGAATCCAGTCACTCCCCTGTCACGGCTCTCTGCACAGATAAATCGAGAATTTGTGCTGGGATGCTGGTGTCACTACTACTGCGGTTGGGAGAGGCAGGGAGCTGTGCGGGGATCATAGGCTTCAACCCCCCTGCATGCCCCCCATGCTGATTACTCTGAAAATCTCAGTTGACGGCTCTGCTCTGCCTCCGCCTTTCTTTGCTTGCTATTGGCTTGGAGGGAGAGTGCAGCAGCATCATTGGCTGCCTGGCTAGTTTCAGCAGAGCGGGAAGGCACCTGCAGAGGAGGCACAACAAGGCTGCTGGGGGCTTCACATAAAGCAGACATGTATGACTCCCCCCATGCATCCACCACCTGGAGAGGAAGAAGAGGGCATGAAGACAGAGCACATCACCACTGTTGGTTCGGCCTCATCTGGAGTACGCGGTCCAGTTTTGGTCACCAGTATTAAGAAAAGATGTACTTGATCTGGAGAGGGTCCAGCGGAGGGCAACTAAACTAATTATGGGAATGGAGGACCAGAGCTATGAGACAAGGCTCATAAATTTAAACATGTTCACGTTGGAAGTAAGGAGATTAAGGGGGGATATGATTTTCATGTACAAGATGTTCAATGGCAACAGCAACATTGGCAACAAACTCTTTAAGATTAACTCCGTTACAAAAACAAGAGGCCACCACCTAAAATTGGTGGAAAACAAATTCCAGCACAAGGGACGAAGGGGGTTCTTCACGGTAAGAGCGGTTAGGGTCTGGAACTCACTGCCATCGGCAGTGATTTCCGCCAGGAGTGTGGAATTGTTCAAGAAACTCTTTGATGATTTCCTGAGGGACCGTAATATACAGGGGTACAAGTACCCCTAAAAAAGATATGATGCGCGGACCTATATGGGTTGGACTTGATGGACTTATGTCTTTATTCAACCCCAAATACTATGTAACTATGTAACCTCCGCACTGCGTCACACTACTGAATTCCGCGCCCTGCTCACATTACTGACCTCCGCACTGGGTCACCTTACTGACCTCCACACTGCGTCACCTTACTGACCTCCACACTGCGTCACATTACTGAGCTCCGCACTGTGTCACATTACTGACCTCCGCACTGCGTCACACTACTGAATTCCGCGCCCTGCGTCACATTACTGACCTGCGCACTGCGTCACATTACTGACCTCGGCACTCCAAAGTAGAATAACGTCTTTTATTGATGTTTCATGCAACAATACACTTATTGCAACGTTTTGGGGTCACACAGGATCCCCTTCATCACGCACTCCCCTTTCGCTTTGATATTTGGCTGATATATTACTGTTTGTTTCCTAACTACCATGTTTCCCCGAAAATAAGACAGTGTCTTATTTATTTTTTTTCACGAAAAAAGACACTAGGTCTTATTTTCGGGGGATGTCTTACCTGGCTGCAGCTGTCCGCTCTGCCGTCCAGGGAGCCACAAACAGGTGGGCGGGCATGTGTGCGGGCGGGGGGGCGTGTCTGGCAGGGAGAAACTCCCCGAAGATAGCACTAGGTTTTATTTTCGGGGTAGGTCTTACTTTCAGGGAAACACGGTATACACATATTTAGTGTGTCATCTTTAGCATGAGACTTTCACCTGCCCTCAGTTGATTATTTACACATGATAACAAGGATTGTCAGTAAACCAGGATTTGTGGAACCGGTGAACCAAATAATCGTTTTGGATTCCTAGTAACATCAACCTTTGAACTTTGAAATAACAGAAACTTTCTTTCTTTCTTT